CGCCAAGTCTTTTACTTAAAGTATAGCACCTTCTAGAAGGCGTCCTTGGAGCCCTGGACTGGACTCTGGCCTGCCTGCCTGTGGCCGTGGCCCTCCCTCGTGCTGTGCTGGCTCTGTGGTCCGACTCTACCTGAGAAACCTCTTCTTGAGGTCACGCGGGGCTTGCTTCAGTACCCATGTCTCTCAGAAAGCCTGTCCTGACTTGAGGGGCTGAGCACACCAATGATGTCACTTCTTTCTTTTTTAATGTATTTTTATTGATTTCAGAGAGGAAGGGAGAGGGAGAGAGAGATAGAAACATCAGTGATGAGAGAGAATCATTGATCAGCTGCCTCCTTCACGCCCCCTACTGGGAATCGAGCCCACAACCCAGGCATGTGCCCTTGACCGGAATCGAACACAAGACCCTTTGGTCTGCAGGCCGAAGCTCTATCCACTGAGCCAAACCAGCTAGGGCTGTGGTCGGCAAACCGCAGCTTGTGAGCCACATGCGGCTCTTCGGCACCTTGAGTGTAGCTCTGCCACAAAATACCATGTGTGGTATTTTAAGTGTGAGGGAAGCTTTTCTCAACAGGTTTCAGGAATTCAGAAACAGCAAAGCGACGTTAGCCTTTGTTAAAAAACCTCTCAATGTTACTGTAACAGAATTAAATTTTTCTCCCTTTAATATTGACATTGAAAAAGGACACATATGTAATACCCTTTGTAATACTTTAAGCAATAAAACAATAAAAAAAATATTGACATTGGCAACTTTGAAATGCAATTGCTGGATTTAAAATACAAAGAACTGTGGAACTCGAAATTTGAACGTCTTTGTGCTGATATAGAAATATTGGAGAAAAACAAATGTGAACTTAGTTCACAGCACAAGTGGTCTGCTTTGAAAGACCTGGAGAAGGAAGATATGTTGATTTTTAACACCTGGAATAGTATTCCTGACTCATATAATCAACTGAAAAAACTAGTGTTTACTGTTCTTTCCTTATTTGGGTCTACATATTTATGCAAACAATCATTTTCAAGCATGAACCTTATCAAGAGTAAATTGAGAAGTCGTCTTATTGATGAGAACCTGGAACCGTGCCTAAAATTAAAAACAACAACATACATGCCCTAACCGGTTTGGCTCAGTGGATAGAGCATCGGCCTGCGGACTCAAGGGTCTCAGGTTCTATTCTGGTGGAGGGCATGTACCTTGGTTGCGGGCACATCCCCAGTGGGGAATGTGCAGGAGGCAGCTGATCGATGTCTCTCTCATCGATGTTTCTAACTCTCTTTTCCTCTCCCTTCCTCTCTGTAAAAAATCAATAAAATATATTTTAAAAAAAAGAAAACAACAACAACAACATACAAACCTGACTTACCCAAACTTTCCAAGGAGATGCGAGGCCATTGTTCACATTAGTGTTTGTCAGTCATTGTCATGATTTAATTTTATGGATATTGTAAGGTACATTGTAAGGAATTTAATTTTATCAATAAATAATATCATTATTAAGTATATCAAGTTTTATTCAATGTATCTATAGTTTAACTAAGACTTAAAACTGTAAGTAAAGTTTATTAAGTTAATTTTAGGCAACATTGTGGAGTGAAAGAAGATGTAGTGTCGAGGATGGAGAAAGGTATGTTGAGATGGTTTGGACATATAGAGAGGATGAACAAAAAGAGATAGACGAAACAAGTATACAAGACGAGTGTGGATGGGAGAATTGGAAGGGGTCGACCTCAGCGAATGTACCTCAATCAGATTGAGGACGTTTTTAGCAAAGGCCAGCTTAGGAGTACCCTAATTAAGTTAATAACAATGTACTTACCTATATAGTTTAAGTTTAAAAAATTCGGCTCTGAAAAGAAATTTCAACCGTTGTACTGTTGATATTTGGCTCTGTTGACTAATGAGTTTGCCGACCACTGAGCTAGGGCATGTCACTTCTTTTCTGTGCCCATGGTCCCTTAGTGATCTGGGGGGCTCACCCTGGCCCAGTTCCCATCTACACCTGGCACTGGAGGGCAGTTGGGCTAGTCACAGCCATCCGGCCATTGCAGCTTGTGCTGGGGCCTGGGCAAAGCATTTTAAACAGGCTGCCTTAGAGATTCCCACCCCTGCACAAAGCAGGAGATTCAGCTCAGAGTGGTAACTGCCAAGACTCGATTTCAGCCTGACTGCCAGCCTGTGAAGGTGCCAATGTCAGCAGCTGGGGTACTTCTTTGGTTGGGAACCAGAAGGGCCACCCTGGGGGAGGGGCTGGGGACCAGAAGGGCCACCCTGGGGGAGGGGTTGGGGGGAACCAGAAGGGCCGCCCTGGGGGAGGGGCTGGGGACCAGAAGGGCCACCCTGGGGGAGGGGTTGGGGGGAACCAGAAGGGCCGCCCTGGGGGAGGGGCTGGGGACCAGAAGGGCCACCCTGGGTGGGGGTTGGGGACTGCCTGGCAGCAGGAACTGGAGTGTCTGACTGGGTTAACATGAAATCTCTCTCATTTGGTTTGGCTTCAACTGTTTTGAAATCGGAGTCCCTCCTTTTTCAGTTTTCTGTAGTCTACAGAGCCTACATAGAAACAGAGGGAGTAAGCAACACAGACAGAGACCCTAGAATCTTTGTCAGAGCTTCTTTTCAAAATGTTTTGTTGTGTGTGTCTTTTTCTTTATTTCAGAAAGTAAGGGAGAGGGAGAGAGAGTTAGAAACATCAATGGTGAGATTCACTGATCAGCTGCCTCCTGCATGCCCCCTACTGGGGATTGAGCCCACAACCTGGGCATGTGCCCCGACCAGGAATCAAACCGTGACCTCTAGGTTCATGGAATCACGCCTGCCAGGCAGAGCTCCATTTCAGAATGAGGAAGTCTCAGAGAGAATGGGTCTTGCATTTCGTTCCTCAGGAGGCTACTCCGGGTTCTCTGGACAGCATTGGTTTAGAGTCAAGTCCTTCAACAAGCTCAGCAAATAGCATTTCAAGCCAACACTGATGCCATGGTCACAGGCCTGTATTACTCTGGAAACAGCTTTACAGCGCCGCCCCCACCCACCAGTCTTAGCACCCCTGATCCCTAACCAGATGACTTAGTTCACATTTCAGACAATAGTTAAAATGGTAATTTTTAAAAAACCTCACCCAAGTACGTTTATTGAATTGAGAGACATGGGGATGGGGAGAGACAGAAACATCGATGTGAGAAACATCAGTTGGTTGCCTCTGATACGTGCCACACAGGATTAAACCTGCAACCTGGGTGTGTCCTGCCTAGGAATCAAACCTGCAACCTTTTGGGGCACCTGAAGACACTCCAACTGAGCCATCAGCCAAGGTGGAAAATATATTTTTACTAGAGGCCTGGTACATGAAAATTCATGCACTGGAGGGGGGTCTCTCAGGCCGGCCTGCCCCCCAACAGTCCAGGAACTCTCAGGGGCAGGAGGTGACCCGGCGATCAGGGGAAGGAGACACCCCATCACACCTCTGCTGCTGCCACTGGCGGCAGCGCAAGCCTCGGCCCTGGTCACCTAAGCCTCGGGTGGCCCTGGACGACTGGGGGGCTGAGGGGGCTGGGAGACTCCGGAGGAAGGTACGTGAAGCAGCTGGGCCCACCTGGGGGGCAGGCCTGGCCTTGCCGTATGCCTGTCACCCCCACGGGGCTAAAGGGACTGGGGGCTACCGCCATCTTTGAGGGTGTGACAGTCAATTAGCATATTCCCTCCTTATTGGCTGTGGGCACCACCATCTCTGCAAGTGCATGGGGGTCAATTAGCATATCCCCTCTTTATTAGATAGGATTGATTTCAGAGAGGGAGAGATAGAAACATTTATGTTGAGAATCATGGATCGGCTGCCTCCAGCACATCCCCTCACCTGGGCCTGAGCCACAGCCGGGACAGCCGGGGCATGTGCCCTGACCGGGAATCGAACCATCACCTCCTGGTTCATAGATCAACACTCAACCACTGAATCATGCCAGTTGCGCCAGGGTGGCAAATTTTGTTATAGTGTACCATCACCATCACCACCACCACCACCACCACCACCACCACCAAGTCCTACCCAAAACAATGTGGAAGTCTTTGCTGCTGTATTATAATGTGGATTAATCTCTAGAACCATACTTTCTCTTAAAAAAATAATTCCTCTCACATAGTCCAGAGTTATTGCCAAATTGTTTAATCAGTTGTTCATAGTTTTTCCAAAATCATCATATAACCCTGACATCTAACATGTGGTCATTTGCTTATGACTTCTGCCAAGTGTAAGGGCCTCAGAACTGGGTATTTCAAGAAGAAAAAATTACATCCTTGTAAATAAAAATTTAAACCAAAGACAATCTCAGATTGTTTGGAAAATATTTGTCATTTTTCTCCAAACACATCTCATCTTTTCTTGGCCTTCTAAGAACAAGCAACCTTTTCCTTTAGGTCAGAACATACTAGTGTCCCAGGGTGGATTAATGTCACCAAATGATATCTTAAATTTGAGGATTTCTCCTCCCTCTTCAGTTTTTAACTTTATGGGCAAGGTCAGTTTTATTGGAAAAGCTAATGAGATCTATGAACCTTCTTTCCAAAGCCCAAACTTTAAAGGGTTCATAAACCCTGGTTCAGGAAACTTGGCTCTAACAAACCAGTGCAGTGGCATTGCTTCCAAACACACAAAAATAGACAAGTGAAATATTATTGGAGGTCATGAACACCACACAAAATATGCAGCCTGAATGAATACCATCTGGTGGCTGTCCTTAAAAATAGGTTGACTGCTACCACTATTCCAAAAAAAAAAAAAAAAAAAAGAGATGCCCGTCCAGAGTGACTCAGTTGGTTGGGCGTAGTCCTGTGTATGAGGTTCGATTCCTGGTGAATGGGTTGAGCTCAGTCCCAGGTAGGGGGTGTGCAGGAGGCAGCTGATCAATTATTCTCTCTCACATCAATGCTTTTCTCTCCCTTTCTCTAAAAATCAATAAACTACTTAAAAAAAAAAAAAGAAAGAAAAGAAAAAGGCAGGACAAAGAACAGTTTTTACCCATAATGATTTATTCTCTACAATACTTCGTTAAAGAGTTCAATGATTTGCACTCAGCAGTTATATAGCCAAGAGCCAACCAAATGTAATACGAAGAATTGGTCTGAAGTCCTTGCACTTGAAGGCTATACAAAGTCTCTTGCTTCAAGGAAATAGGAAAATTAATAAAAAACACACAAGCTCCCTAGGCTCCAGAATCTCAACAGAAAATAACACCAACAGTTAGTGAAATTGTAGGTGTTAACATGGAAAACAGATCTTGTGCAAATATTAACACCTAGGACTTCTGTATAGATGATTTTTATTATAAACAATAAAATGTTATGTCTCCATTACAAACCTTTCATACTGAAAGGATCTCTAACATGAATTGCTTTAATATTATGAAGCAAAAAAAGTTTAAGAACCTCACAGTGGAAACAATCCAACACCGACAAACTCTAGTGATGAGACATTCTCTTTTAATGTAAAACAAACACAATTCATAATTACAGAGAGAATGTCCCAGCTGTGGGTGTTAGGAGACAAGCTAACTTTCCAGACCAAAAGGCACTCACTGCCAGGGACAAAACAAGCTCCGAGCCAAACCAGCCATGTGGGGGTGGTTCCTTGAAAACAGCGGTCACCTACTGTCCAGCTTGAGCAGCCCAAGGACAAACGGAGCGAGCAAAACCGTCCCTTCTCTTTAAACCCACACGTGGACTGGCCGCCCTCATCGCCGCGCAGGGGGAGTGTGCGGAGAGCAGTTCAGTTCTAGTTTGGAGCTGCCATCCCCCTCTGCACAACGGCCACATGGATGATCCAGACTCAGTGTTTTTCCTGAGCGCCACCTGCCACACCTTCATGAGGTGGCCATGACCGGGCACTCCCAGACTGCTTCCTGACGAGGCCCCGTTTAAGACGGACACGGATAGCGCCATTCTTTCCAGAGCCACGTAACTTTCCTTGGTCAACTCTGGAGTCCCTGTGACAAGCAAGAGGACCCGGAGCACCTCTGCTGCTGGGCCTGGGTGGAGCTCAGGGCCTGGAAGCCCCTGCCGTGTGGTGCTGGGCTTCACCAGCCATTCCTGTGCAGATTCCCAGCCCCTGGTGTGTGGGTTCAAACTTTTCTGTTCACTTTCTTAACGGCAGGTATCCTACCCCACCCCTGATAAGATAAAAAAAAAAAATCACACTATACATTGGGGAAGACAGATAGGGCGGCATTTCTACGAGAAACAATAGGCTTGAAAAGCATGGCACTGTAAATGCTTGCATGACCAGTTTCACTGAGCGTGCTCAGGGGTAAAATTTTAGCACCATTTTTTTTGCTTTTTTTTTTAATCTTTAGAAATTAAACACAACTTTTAACATAGAACACTTGAACAATAATGAAGTGTAGCCCTATAGATCAATACTGTTGTACAAATTGAAGGTGGATGGTTTAGTCCCAAACTGACCACCCTGACATCAATCCATGGCACCGAAAAGTAACTGTCGTCACGTTTGTAACAAGACATTTATTATTCTCAGCAGCAGGCAATCATGAAACAATCCCTTCATCTTCAATAGCTTTTTTTCATTACCTCTGCAAGGAAAAGTGGCAAGAAGTGAGAATCCAGCCCAGCCTGGGCATCCGATGTCAGCCCATTGTCCCTGCAGGCGCCATAGCCTAAGGGATAACGCCCAGCTAATCTGCCCACCTTTACTCCTCTCTTCCAAGAAACGAGACAGCTATGCCTATAATAGCATGTGTCGTGTCTTATTGACTGTGTCCCTGTCCACCCCCTTCCCCAATTCCTGGCAGAAAAAAACTCAAAAGGTCTTTTGACTTGACTATTTGCCCATTCTGGAAAGCCACACCATCACCACATAAACTTTTAAAAATAAATTAAATAACAACATTGTGTCCACCAGGTTGACATCCAATCACTTCAAGAGTTCTCCAAGTGCGCTGCTGGACAGTTACCCTTAGGGTCTCTCCTCCCACCGGCCACTCCTCCTGGGCCCTTCCAGCAGTGCCTCCGTCACAGTGCTGCCACAGCCCCTTCCAAGTCCCAGCTGCCATCAGCTCTGCACCAAGCGGGTGAAGGCTGGGCAAGGGGGAAGAGGAACTTGCTGACAGGTACTTAGTCAGCAGCTATGGGAAAGGGAAGTATGCCACAGGAAAACGGAATGACCTAGACTAAAATGAGCTGCTTGGAACCCCGTCCCGGTGGGGTGAAGACTCCCAGCATATTAGGCAAGATAACGATTCACCTTGTTTAATTACACAGCTTTGTCCTAAAGTCCTGTAAAGGACTGAATCAACTGTCTTCTCACTTCTACAGGGAAACTAGGAAAAGGAACTCCTCTGCTTTTCAGTCCCTTAAAGATGTTTGCCTGAAAAGACAAAAAACAGTTTGGAGACCTGGATTTTCTCCTGTGACAATGTGTCTTTCTACAGCCCGACCCAGGTGCTTGTGAACATCTATGTCTTCTGTGAACCTATACAGCTATAGGCACTGCTACCAGGCGAGGAGTGAGGTAGCCAGGTGGTAAGGAGGAGGCCTCCCCTTTCACGCTGCACGCGGCAAGGATGTCAGGACCTCCTGCAGGCGTCCCAGTTCATTCCTCAGCAGGTTCCACCACAGAGCTCCCTGTGCAGTACAGGAGACTCACTGCGAGAAGAGCGCCAGGAAATCCAACTGACAGCAGGGTTAGAATTAAACCTTGGAGGCTGGCTGAGCAACGAATGCGATCTGCCATGCCATCTGGGGGCTTTCCATCTGGATGTGGGTGTCTGTCCAGGAGCCTCACAAGACGCACGGCGCCCACAGCCACCCCGAACATGGCGTCCACTTATGAAGCATGGAGGTTGTCATCATCTGTTGGTATGCAATGAACTGGACGTTTAGAAAAAGGAATTTAAAACAACCTAAAAATGTGTCTTGTTGGTCTCCGTTGCCCAGACTGCCAGGGGAAAACACATCTACTTGATCTGGGGAGGCTACAAGGGTGCAAGTGGGGTCAACCTTCAGGAATCATGACTTCCAGCTCCCACCGTGTAGCCAGCAAGCAGGTGGCCACGTGCATGCCGAGGGCCTTCTGAACCCACAGGCAATTCTCACTAGTCATGGAGGAGCCCCAATCCAACGGAACCCCATAATGAGGAAAGGCTGAAATAAGGCTTGGGCCCCTCGAGTTCTGTTTCATTCAATATAATCCCGTTCTCCCACCCCAACCCCGAGTCAGCTGGAGGCAGACTTGGCAACGGAAGCTAGCATCATAAAATGGTGCAGTAATAGAAGTAACTGGACCAGGAAGAGGAGGCGTCTGCTCCAATGATGTCATAGCCATTGGTGGCCACAGGGGGGTGGGACTGGTCATGCAGCCGTGTGTCAGGAGTAATGATTGTAGAGGGGCGGGGCATGAAGAGTGCCATTCTGGAAACAGTGCTGTCGAGAAGCAATATACTCTGCATAACTGATTGTCACCTTCTCACTTCGGTACCTGTGTAAGGAGACAGGGGAGGGTATTATGAACCCCAAGCACTTCATTCAGTAAAGTCACTCAGCATAGAAAACCAAAAGCTTATTCCACATTTTGAAAGAATAAAATGGAAGACCAAGAGCAACCTTACTTACAGAAAATGAAAGACAGCACAAGAAAACAATGTTGTTATTACAAATGAACGAGATGAAAAAGCACAATCACAATACCCCTGAGCAGGGGTTGTCTGCACATCCCACCTTTAAACACTACATATGCTTATCGTCAGGCTGCTCTTAAGCAATCTGCTACGGGGTCTGGAGGAAGAATCTCAAGTCAGAGGACATGGGTGGCAGATTGGAAGAGGACTGCAACCAAGGCCCAGTGTAAACTGCAAGTCTACTTTCGGGTTAAAATGAGGTAAAATGACAGAAATACAACCTCAATTTGCAAAAAGTAACAAGCGAGTTATTTATAACCAAAAGGGCACAGATACCTAATTCTGGGTCAAATTCTCATAAAGCAGGTTAAAGGATCCTGGGGCTAGATAGGACGGCCTCAATTCCTGGATGAATAAGCCATCTATCCCAGGATCATCAGAACAGAATTCATAGCACTTTGGCTTTGCTCTGGAAAGAGCCATGAGTCAGGATGCGAAGCATGGGTGTTACAAACCTATGGAGCCTACTACAGACCACAGGAGCTGGGTGTGACAATCCTTACCCAGAGCCATCTCTTTCCCACTGTAATCACTCCTCCACTGCAAGGTGATTATTCCTGAATTTTGACAGGGAAATGGCTGTTCAAATAAATTATAATAATAATAATGATAATAATAATGCTTTGTATTTGAAGATTTATTTTTTAGTTTTTCTTGGAATCCAAAGCATTTAAAAAACACTGGGTTATCTTCCAAATAGACCTGTGAGGTTACTGTATGATCATTCAGCATTTTACAGATCAGGGGCCAGAGGCCCACAGAAGCCCATAGAAGCTAAACCTCTCAGTGTTTTTGATTTCAGTAGGGACGGGAAGAGAACTGACATCTATGCTTGGCCCTGGTTTAGAAATTCCTCATATATCACCTTACCACAACTTAAAACAACCCTAAAGCATTATCATTCACTTGTTACAGACAGGAGAGTTTTCCACTTAGAGTGGCAGAATAACTGAACAGGTCCCATGGCTAAGTGGTGGGGCTGTGTTTCAGACCCCAAGGCCACATACACTCTACCACACTAGGCAGCCTCCCCAAAGAAGCATTCACTCCAAACAGGCAGGGGCGTTTCCTTTCAACTCTTCATACCAAGCATTTTCTGACTGTTCCTTTAAGGTGCCACCTGATCGCCTCAGCCTCCCCCAAAGCGCATCTGGCACAGACACCCACGACTTGCTCAGTGGCCTCGCCCTGCTCCCTCTGCTCTCAGCTTAGCTGTTGGGACACTCAGGAGGCTGAGTCTTTGCTGCCATGTCTCCGCAGGGCCTCACCGCACCGCACTTCTGTGGTTAGGAGACAGCAGAGATACTTTCTTCCCCTTTCCATCAACAAGTACCCTCCATGCAAACCCAACTAAATTAAAATGACAAGGAAAACGAGACAGGGGGTTACCTGGTGAGTCTGATCGTTTTTCTGAATTCACTGGTAATTGGAGCCTTGAAGCCACCTTTCCTGAGCAAGGAGTCTATTGTCTGGATCTGATCCCAGTCTGAGGAGAGGAGACACATTGAGGTCAGCGCACAGTGACAGAGGGGCATGCTCTCACACGGGGAGAGGCGGAAGCGGCCACGTCTGCTAGGGAGGGGCAGGGGGAGCCCTGGGCACCGAGTGGTCTGCTCACTGACAGTCCAAGGGAAACCTTGGCGACCTGAGACAGTGGCCTGACACATGCCGTGTGACTGTCCCCAGGCCCTGCTTCTGTATCTTTCCTGTCAGAGGTGATCCCAGTGTCAATATCTAGGAACAAACATGGTCCCAGCGTAGACTGGCTGTGGGCCTAGTGCTGGGAGCCAGGGATTTCTGTGGAAAGAGAGAATTCAATTCTGCAGCTTATATTCCTCAGTGTGGCCTTCCTTCATTTGAGGATTTCTTGGAGTCCAGTTTTCAATTATAGAGAATTGATAGTAGGAGGGAAGCTATTTCTTTAAAAAGGATGGGAAAGTTGTTCACACAGTGCTGCTGTGTTGTTCTTGCATGTTTGTAACAGATAAAAACCAAACAAAAGTCCCTAAATTACTGCAGTATGTGCCACTTTTTAATTTTCCCAAACAATATTCAAATGGCAAAAGTACTCTGATTATTTACCGAAGTTATCATCACATCTCAGTATCAGAAAATACTTATGGTGTGCCCTCTCGTACAGAAATACGGGATTTATGATTTCAAAAAGGTGGATAAAAGGCTTCTGTTTTATGTCACATCCTCACTGCTTTTGAAAAAGTTTAAACACAACCACAATGAAAATCAACAAAGCAACTTGCTGGCCACATAATTAGTTCACCGACGTATTAAACTGGACAATTTTCTCTATTTCAGGTTCACATTTAACAAATACTGTGTGCGTGTTAATTTACATATTAATTTTTAAAAAAACCAGAATTCCAAGAAAGAAAGAATATGAGGTTACACATCACAGAATGAACAAGCAACATTTATAGGTATTCTTTTAAAGGGAAAACTCCCCAACCCATTTTCCATCTTCAATGTCACAGTTTAAGAATTTAGTAACTACCAAGTTCCTTCGCCCCCAACACCTCTACTGCTAAATTCTTTAAAAAATAGGATTAATTACATTTTGCCTTTTTCCAAGTATAATACTGCTTAATAATTCATGACCAAGAGTTCAAAACTCCTGATATGGGCAGCTTCCCTTTACAATGAACTCCATAATATGGTCAAGTTGATTGGTGGAATTTTACTACAATCACCAATCTTGGAGGACAAGAAATAAAGCTATTCCCTGAAAGTGAAATAAGTAAGTAGGAGCAATCATTCCCCCCTCCTTCTCCCAGCTTCTGCATCGTTCAGAGTTCATTCCTCCTTCTAGAAGAAGCTGGTAGGTATTAAAAAGAAGGGCACTCATTCTTAGTGGCATTTGGGCTGAAAGACCACACACTCTATTCTCCTGCCTGTTAGTCGGCAACACCATGTTCAGTGTTGTTCAATGAAATTCCATTTGTCCAACTCACCTTGCTCCTTAGCAACCTCAGGTAAATATGTGGCTGTACGTTTGACACCTTTTTCATTGATGAATTCAATTCGTATTCCATGGACCCCTACCTACAAAAAAACCCACAACCAAATAAATGCACTGATTTATTCTAAGGACATTTCAGCCACCCACACATGACCAGGAGAACCTCCTGATTTCATCATGAATGCTGTCAGATATAAAAGCCAAAAAAACTAGCTTGAGAGAGGTGATTCCACATGTAATCACCTAAGTGTATAAGGGTTATAGGAATAAATTCTTTCAATTGCTCATCTGATCATCTTGAACACTCTACCTTCAATCTAGTCCATTAAATGAACATGCCACAGGGTTTGATCTGGCTCAGGGCCCTTCACAAATGACTCTAAATAACAACTTCGACTCAAGGGCTCACCAAGAAGGATCTGGAATATTCCACTTTATCATGATTCTTTTGTTGTTTATTTAATATTATTGTCATTAGTTTTAATTTATCTTTATTGTTGCAAGTATTACAGATGTCCCCCTTTACTCCCCCATCTCAGTATTACTTATTAGGCATGGGAGAAGGATGTGAACCAAAGTAGACTTGGAAGAAAGAAATCTTCATAATTCTGCTTCTGATATTGTAGCACTTTTTCTGTCCACCCATGCTGCCCATAATTATTTCCAAACTCAACTGTCACATTCTTATACCCTCTCAATGAAGGAGATACATCACCATGTACTAACCCGAACCCAAATGCAACGCAGAGTTCCAAATGCAGCTGTTCTCACCTCCCAGTCCAGGTAATCACTGGCATCCTCAAAGTTAGTAAGGAGGGAGACAGAGCAGGAAAGTTTAGGCAGCTCCTCTCGGGTCAGGGGGGGGAACCGACTGTCCTTAAGTGCACTGGAAGGGGACAAAAACACATAAGTGAGGCTACTCTGGATTTGGGAGCATGTGCCCGAATATTTACAACTGGAGCTATGCAGAGAACGTCTATTATCCATTCATACTCAGGTGCTAAAAACAACTTGATGCTATGAACTGTCTATACTTGAACCAGTAAGTGACTCACAGATTACAGCCTCCACAGTTCCTGCTCACCAAGAGAACACTCATTCTTTATTACTTTGAAGACATAAAGTCTGGCAGTTGTTTTCGATTCTGTAGACAAATTTGATCACCAATTTTTCCACCAATCTTATGCCTCGTGTAATTACCTGGTTAACGTGTATTCCCTGAGTCCTGAATGAAGATTCATGGCTGAGAAGGTCCCAATGCAGCCACGAAGCCGCTTGTCCCGCCCTGTCTTCCATGTCACAAAGAGCGGACTAAAAAAGCAAAACACAAAACACTCTCCAGCCCCAAATCAATCATGGATAAGAACAAACCTTGGCTTTATTCCTGTTCATTTGTTATTCCCCAAAATGATTGCTTTCCGAACTGCCAGCTCCCTGCAGGACTCCATTCCCCTCTGGGAGGCGTACAGTCCCGGTGGGACACAGAGAGGACACCTCGCAAGGCGCATGAAGAAAGGCCCTCTGGGCAGCCTTTCCCACGGCCTTGCTGACACATGCATGTGCTACAGTCCTCTTCCTCTGTCCAGGACTTCACTTTTTTTTCCTTCTAATTCTCCATGTCCTTCTCCTCTTCTTTACTCTATTTTGAATGTCCAAGTTCCCTAGTCCCACCCTTCATGCAGACACACTGGGCCTGTGCACCTTCTCCTTCTTATCTGCACGCACTCCCTAGAGCCCCACACTGTTCCCATAGTTATTTCTGCCAATGGCAGCTACAGATATCTCCTGCTCATAAATGTTCAGAAAAGAAAAATAATGTTTCCAGAAGAGAGGTTATTATTAGCAGAAATCACCACCTTCTGTTTCTCGGCTACATCAGATGGATGGTGGCGGGTTTTCTAGGAAGAAGTCTCGGGTCTCTCTCTCTTCCTGAGACTCCTCCATGCTCCTATGCCTTTACCTCTTTGATGCCTGAATTAAACACTTCTAAAAAGCAACTTAAAAATTTCAAGTTACCTACTTCTTTGATCATTGTTACAAAGCAGATCTCCCACCCACACGTCTTTCCCTTATACTAACACACTTGAACAGCACCAGCTAGAGTTACTGTCTCAACACTACTCCACAGCCCTCAAGTAGTCCACTGTCTGCAGGTGGGAATAGGAGCCCAAATAGAATGGCCCTGCAATGCTGCAGCCACCACCCACTCTCCCAACCTGTGTCCTTCTCCTTTAGAGATACGCCTGCTCCCACTCAGACCCAGTGGGATCATCTGCATCTGTTCTGCAGGGTTTTTCTGACTATGGTACCCTGGGGCAATACTGCCCTGAAAAGTCAGGACTTTTTCTCTTCATCTCTTCTCCTCTGACACCACCACACAGGAGGGACGACTTCTGCTCTGCTCTGCCCACAGTGCACCACACACTATTTCACTTGGTGCCTGTGGCTGGAGGACTCAACAAGTCTCCCAAGGACAAGGACTTTTCATGCCTCTGCACTCCCTGCCCAGTGGCTGTGCAAGGCCTTTCTATGCTGCGTGCTCCACGCACCTCAGAAAACAAAGCTCAAAAGCTCTTCCAAGCCAGCTCAGAGCCGCTCCGATTCCGAGCCAGGAGCAGACACTGGCCTGAGTTTCCTCAGTTTGCACTTGATACACATGCGCCTCCCATCATTGGCACGTGAGAGGGCTGGGGACAAACAACAGAGTCTTGAATTAAAAAGAGTAAAACAGAGCCCTGGCCGGTTTGGCTCAGTGAATAGTGTGTCGGCCCGCGATCGGAAGGGTCCTGGGTTTGATCCTGGTCAAGCGCATGTACCTTGGTTGCAGGTTCGATCCCCAGCCCTGGTTGGAGCACGTGAGGGAGGCAACCAGTTGTTGTGTCTCTCTCACATCAATGTTTCTCTCTCTCCTTCCCTCCCATTCACTCTAGAAATCAACGGAAAAATATCCTCAGGTGAGGGTTAACAAAACCAACTAACCAGTAAAGCAGATTCTGACATGTGGGTGGGGTGCCAGCAGCCCTGAGATTTCCATGGGATTGCTGTTGAACAGAGGGAGGGGACCCTGTGAAAGCATCGCAGCTCCCATTAAATGAGCTCCCAGTTCACCTGGACTTCAACACTACGGGGGTCCACAACGATGTGACAGAGTGGCGATGTGACAGTGTGACCTGTACATTTGAAACAACAGAAGAGCCAAGAAGAAAACCCTGATTTCCAGAACATTACTTTAACCAGAACATTACCTACGCCTCCTCCAAATATAACCTAGTCCCTCTCCAACACTGGATACTCTAGGTATTTCTCACCATCCTCTTCCTACATCACATTCAAGTTTTTATAAGTAGTGGGAAGATGCCATCCTGCCTTTCTCATTGTCCCCTGCTCTGATGGATTTACTCACTAGGGGTCATTGGTGAATCTAGGAAGTCGTGGCTGAGGGAAGCCATAGAGGTGACAGTAGAGGACATCAAAGCAGTAGCAGCACATCTCTGCGGTCACCACCAGATTCTTGGTGGTGTTGGCAGTTCCATTGGGTCGGGGAAGAGGACTCAGAGCTCCCGATGCGGGATTCATTCGTGTAATGGGGGAATTTCCAGGTCCCAGAGTTAAGTCTGACACATTCTCCCGACCACTGCTGCCATCTGCATGCTGGTGGTTTTGAAGAGGTCCTGAACTAGAGCCGGGGACAGTGGTGGACTGGTTCCCGTGAGTGTGCGTTCCACTTCCAGATAACTTGGGCTTCTTGACCCCACAACAGCCTGCTGCCAACTTGGGCTCGAGTGGAGGAACGCAGCGTCTTTTTCCCATCCTGACTCAGTGCTCGCGGTCTGGAATGTACAGAACCCTAACCAAAAAGAGAACAGATAAGCATTGACTCAAATGGTTAGCCAAAAAGAGAAAACAAAAACAGAAGAAAGAGTCTCCACACAGAGGCAAGAGTCATCCAGGCTCGCTCTCCCCAGGTCACAGGGCCACAAAGGATCCCGGGCCAGCGTGACGAGAAGAAACCCCGAGTTCCACAGCAGGAGTTCCTACAGGGAAATCACTGTTTATTTTCCGTGAAGCTACGGTCACCACGGGCGGAGGCGGGCAGCACAGTGCTCTCTTGCCTGGCCGGAAGGAAGGGTGAGCAGCCCATGAAGCTGGACGGAGGGCGGCATTCAAGGCCGGCTGGAGGGCAGCCCTGGACCTCGCAGACTTCCTCCGGCTGCTTTCTGCACCCTAATTTCAGAGGGCCCCAGTGAGGCACCCGTGCTTTTCCTGGCTGACCACATCCTTTCGGCATTCCTTCATCACTAACATGAATGATGTGTGATTTCAGCCCCCGACCTTAGTGAAGGTGAAAAGCAGTTAGCTGCCATTCCACAAAGAGCACACCTTCTAACACAGGGCTCCCATCTTTCTGTCCTCACAGCTATCATTTGCAAATGCTCATTTTCCTTGGTTATCAGAACTCCACTTTCTACACATCTCTCTAACCTTTTAAGACCTCATTCGAGAAAAGCTACACCTAGTAGAAACCTTTATTCATACAATGACCCAAGCTTCATAGTCCTTTTGTGAGGTAGCCTTTCTGCCCTGTCATTGCAAAGCAAACAAATGCAAAGCCACTCAGCTTAACATAGTGTGGCATCAGATGGGCCAGAAAGCCATCTGATGATGTGAATGGGAGGGAGGATCTTTTTACTAAATTTTTTTCTTAAAAAGCCCAAGGTAGAAATGTATAGCTATAACATGGCCAAAATCCTCTTTCTGTTGTGTCAAAAATCACAGAATCAGGAAATAGAGATCCTATTTATTTCAATATCGATTATACCAAAGTTTGTAAAATTCTCTTGACTTGAGGAAAGTATACTGGTTTTTCTCAAATGACTACATGTTTTAGCCCTTCCCTAGATATTCTCCCTAAAATTTTCTCTGATTTGAACACAAAGCACATAACTGCCTTTTTATGCATTGCTCTAAAACATAGTGTTTTGGTTATAAATTCCACAGCCTTTTAAATCAAATAAGATGTTTACCTACCCACTTGCAATGCCATTAATTCTACAAAAACAGCCTGTCACTTGAAGTTGAATGAGATATAAAAATTTCACAAGTTTTACTCGTTTATGTTCTTGATATATGCTGGTCCATAACAAAATACATATTTTTGTATCTAGGGTAATTTTTAGTGAGTTGAAAGAGCTGAGGAATAATACCTTTGTACTCTTCAATGTTTGGCTTGAAAATAGGATTCTTTTTGAGAAAGCCTTATGCACTTGATCCATTAAAACTTCCAGAAACTATACTGATTCTAAGCATAGACTTTCTTGTCTTGTTCAAACATTTAAGAGAGGGGGCAGAACATCTTGGTTGAAAAAGACTGACTCCAGAACCAACTGGCCTGGGTTCAAATCCTGATCCTTCAGGCTTGCCTCTCTGACTCAGTTTCTTCACAATGTGAGTAACCAGACTTGCCCCCGTGGTTGTTAGGAAAATGAGTTAACATATGGGAAGTGCTTAACACAATGTCTGGTGTGTAGTGTCAATTTACTCAGCTGCTCTCACCATCTGGGTTTTGTTTGACTGCTCCCACTGGCACGAACTCCTGGAGGGCCAGGACTTCACTGTGGAGTGCTTGCCCTGAACAGGTGCTCTCTAAACAGGGTTTCACAAAACCCTCAAAACCACTCAGCAAGACAGACGATGCTACTGTCATCTTACAGAGGTGGGACCTCAGGCTGAATAAGCCAGATAACCTGCCTAAAGGCAGACTGCCACTAAGAGGCAGAGTTAGAACTGGGAGCACAATCTGTATGCTGGACTCCAAGGCCTGGGCTTTCCCATCAAGCCACAAAGTGTGAGGCTTGCCAATAATAACCGTTGGATTCAGCCCCTTTCCTAAGGGCATGATGGAAAACAAACTACATCCAAGGGTGTACTAAAAACTAGCTTAAGAGTTTGCAGAACCTTGCCAACAAAAATGGAGCAAGAAACAAATTCAAAACCAACATCTCAGCCATCACCTGGACAAGTACCAATTCCCCTGACATTGTCATTGGAGTTCACAATGGATGTCACTGGCTTCTGAGCTCTCATTTAACTTTCCACCTTGTATGTAACGTGTTAAATGAAGCAGAACAATCTCTACAGAGTTGGAGTTTTAACACCCAAAATTCAAAAAAACAAAGAAACGCAAAGGTTAAAAAAAAAAGAAATCTTTGCTCATTCTCATTACACCAAAGCACACCTGAAGGAAGAGCTAGATGTTAGGAGATTGTGACAACTCAGGTGTTTGTTAGCCGGTGTTATCAACTACCTGACTAGGAAACACCCCGGAACAGAGCAACAGAAGAGATTTCACACCACACCAAGGCAGAAGAAACGAATTCTCGGAATATTCTGCCTACACACAAAGTACAACCACTGATCTGCAGTGGGAACAAACACAACAGATTACATTTAACAATTCCCCCACGCCCTCCCAAGCTACAATTTGAAATCAAGAGAACCAACCCAAATCTTGTGACTCTTTAGGCCCCAAGCATTTCTTGGGAGGCCATTAAGCAAATAATTCAATCGATATTCTCAAGTAGTGACCAAAGGCAGCACTTTATCTTTCAGTATAAAGCAAATATTAAGTGAACTACAATAAAGAATGTTAAGACTACAATAAAGAATGTTAAGTAGCACTGGCCCGGTAGCTCAGTTGGTTGAAGAGATGCCCTGATGCTCCGAAGTTGTGGGTTCGATCCCCAGCCACAGCACATACAAGAAAACAGCCAGTACATGCACGGATAAGTGGAACAACAAATCCACATTTCTCTCTCTCTAAAAATCAGTAAGTAAGAAGAAAAAGAACGCTAAGTAAAACAGGGTGCTGGTAGGAAATGCTTTTATTTATTACATTAACCCCTATCCACCAATTTCATCAAAACTTTCTCTTTAGAGACTCTTCTAATCCTACTCCAACAAAGCAGGCACCTCACCACAACCAAGTAGTCCGAGACTCAGCTTCCAGGACCACCCTACAATAAGCAGGCACTCATTTCTCCAAAAGCTTGGCAACTGAGAGTACAGTGTAAGGTATCTCAGAATAACAGCGCTAAACAAACAAAAAACCCCCTAAAGATATACTCAACACCTCTTCTAAAACAATGTGGGAATTTGTTCTTACTCTTCCTCAAAACCTCTTAAAAACTAGCAAAAATGGTACTTTGATCCTAGTAGGAGTAACTGAATAGTTCCTGCAGTCAGTTCATCTGAAATAAATGGAATCAAGTGTAAAAATCCTTGCTGTATAGACACATTATGTCACTGAGACCCTCTCAAGCTTTCAGTTGGTTACTTTCAAAACTAAACTCACCCAGTCCAGTGGCTCAGTGGTTGAACACTGACCCAGGCCCTCCAACAGGTCTCAGGTTTGATTCCTGTTCAGGGCACAGGCCTGGCTTGCTGGCTTGATTCCCAGTAGGGGATATGCAGGAGGCAGCCCATGGATGTTTCTATCTCTTTCTTTCCCTCTCTCTAATAAGTAAGTAAATCAATAAATCAATAAAAACATGTTAAAAAACAAAAAGCTAAACTCAAGGGCCACTTTAAGAGCCAGTAGTAGTGATCTCATTTTCCTCTGTTCACTAGATATCAATGAGAATGAACTAGGTAAAATGGATTTCCACCAGATGGAGACAAAGTTGTACTTCCACAAAAAGCTGGAGGAAATAAAAGGAATGACTGTTTCACCTCCTAACTTAGCAAGTGTCAAATAAATATGTTCTCAGTGCTGAAGAGTCATCACACCTTCCTTGGGGTCCACCAGCTGGCAACTCCTCCTCCCTTCCTGTGGGGAAGCGGGCAGGATTCTACCGTCATTTCAGTCCCAGCCAGCCCTGCAGCCACCCTCAGCCTGAGTCTCAGGGCTGGATGCCTTTACCTTTCACTACACCTCACCTGGTGCCCTGCATATGGTATACACACCAGCCATCTTATCTACAGATTTCCTAGTTGATTTCATTTAAGTTTGCCTTTTTATAAGAAGAACTAGAGCTCAGTGCATGAATTCTTGCACCAGTGGCGTCCCTCAGCTTTGCCTGTGGGATCAGGAGAAACTGGCTCTCCGACATCCTGCGAGGGGTCCTAGATTGCATGAGGGCGCAGGCCAGGCAGAAGGACCCCACCAGTGCATGATCGGGCCGGGGAGGGATGCGGGAGGGCTCCAGGGCGTGTCTGGCCCGGCTCGTTCAATCCTGATTGGCAGGACCCCAGCAGCAAGCTAACCTACTGGTAGGAGAGCCTGCCCCCTGGTGGTCAGTGCACATCTTAGCGAGTGGCTGATCGGCCTTAGCCTATCATTAGCATATTATGCTTTGATTGGTTGAACAGCCAACCAGACACTTAACATATTAGGCTTTTATTATATAGGACTAGTGGCCCGGTGCACAAAAATTTGTGCACTCGGGGGGCATCCCTCAGCCCAGCCTGCCCCCTCTAACAGTCTGGGAGCCCTCACAGGATGTCCTACTGATGTCCCTGTGAGGAGCGGGCCTAAGCCGCAGTCTGGCCTCCCTCTGTGGAAGGCAACTGGCCGATCAGGTATATAGATACTTTCTGAAGGCAGCACAGACTCCTTCCTTATTTCTTTCCTCTGTGGTTGGAGAATAGGGGACTAAAAGGTGGACACACAACTGTGGCCGGGCCTGGGCCTCTTGTAGGCAGCAGAAAGAAGGAGAGGGCTGGGGAAAGTCTAAACATGGTTTTCTTCAATTGTCCTCCCTTCCTCCGGGCCCCTCGCTCTGTTCTCCCCTTGTTGTGGTGGACGCTTGGGCCTCGGACTGACAGGAGCCCAGCGACAGTGGAGTTCAG